CGTCCAACTTAGGGGATATGCGAATGTGCGGTTTGGATCCCGCCCGCCCTCCGCGTGAAAACCACCCACCAACCACCAGTGGCGACTCTAGCTATTAACTTCTTATCGATCCGAAGGTGCGGGTTGGACCCCAGCCCGCCACTCCGGTGAACACCCCACCCACCCATGACGACTTAGCATTCTTCTTTCGTCAACCTCTATCTGCTTCTGCACTTAGTCAGGAACTCGAAAGCGAATTGCGGGGGTACGCAAGAACCCCGACAACACCCTGTGCTCTCTTGTGGTTTAGAAAATGTAATGTCTTTCAGCGAATTTTCTGCTTTTTTTTTGAAAACCTCCCAAAAAAACATTCGGTCACCGTCCTTGATTCGGCCTAGGAACTCAATGCACACATTTGGCAAGCTTTTCCGGTAATTGTAATCAAGTTTTATATCTTTGATGTCGTCAACTCCCACTTCGGCCCATGCGTAGCGGTTGATGGTGGGGTGATGCTCAGCCTACGCGTGTTTCGGACATCCCGTCGCGCGCCTTACTCGCTCCAAACTTGGTCAGATCTCCCTTGGTCATTCTTTTAGTGGAATTAAGTCGAAACCGTGCAAGACCCCCCTACAAATATTGAAAAAGAAAGCTTGTGAAGTTCAAAGTTCGTTTCACTGGTGCATGAAACTGTCTATAAAAGAAGCTATGGTCGTGAAGGATTGACAACCGAATGAAGGAGAACATTTCAGCTTACTCGTACAAAATTCCTGAACGAGGCTATTTTCGACGTACTAAATGTATCGAGTGATTTCACTTGACCTTTTGGTAGCAATCTTCTAGTTTACACACATGAAATTTCCTGGATTCATGTACTGCCAGCTACGGCTTTTCAATGTAAAAACGCGCGCCTTTAAAGAATTTTCTCGTTATTTTGCATAAATGAACAACAGAACCATTTTGCGGTACTGGACGAAATAAGGCTCTTCAAAGCCTGGATAATGTAAGTCTTCCAGTTTACACTTTCAAATGAAAGTTTGTGGAAGGAAGATTGTGGAGGATTGCATTTGAAGGAAGTTATGACTTCCCAAAATGTGAAATTTCACGCCTCTCGAGTTTCCTCGTTATTCACCCAAACCCCATACTTTTTATCAATTTCCACAAATTTTCCTATTTCCAACAAGTGCTCCTCGAGAGACGTCTAATTTTTTCAGATTGAAAATTCGTCCACATTAAAGAATGCTATGCTCATTTTAACATGTGCTCAATTTCCATGGTATTATAGATGTTGTTGAATGGGTAACACATGCGTTGCAACAGCAACCATCTTTCAGAGGCCCTCTATACGCAGAGAAGGGTCGTTGCTGGTGGGAGGGGGAATGAGTTGTATCTCAGGGGTTTCCCCAACGACTTCCCTGTTGGAGTTCTCAACAGGGAGTCTCCAAATGTAGGGGTTCGCAAGCGCAAGGACCAGCAACGGACACAAACGCTGCTGGTGCCACGTTCTCGCTGTGTCATAAGTGCTTTTGCAAGCTTTTTATTATACTTTGGGTTAAGTAAGTGGCATCTCAAAACTGGCTAAAGTGAATACATAAATGAGTGGTGCTTATTGCCGTGGCTAGTACATATAGGTCAATACGATTAACGTATTTGCAGAAAGTACCATTATTAATGTGAATGCAATATCACTGAAGCCAATACATATGTATGTACTCAAAATTTAGTACGCACTTTGAGAACATAGTGGAGGAGCAGCATGTCATAAAATACTGCAGCCGCAAGTGCGTAATTCATGGGAACAGGGTTGGAAAGAAAGCGACATTAATGAAGGAATGATCAGGTTTTACCATTGGAATAAGAGTTACTTCACTCAATCGAAACCAAAAGCACCCCCTGGTTTGCGCGAACAAGTTATCTTGTAAACAGGCACGTTTCAAATGATTCCGAGTGAGGCCAGGGATATCGCATACAGGACGGAAATAGTTTGTGTCTATATCCCAACTCTTGATTCGCTCTTACGATTAGATATTGAGTCCATCGCGGTGATGTATTTATGAAGCAATTTGAGGATTTTGAAAGAAGTTCCTTGCATCGACAACGGGTGAAATTTTCGATGGGCTCGGAAAATCCCTCGGTAGATTCTCGAGGAACATTTCTCGCGCACTAGGAAACCCTTAAAAACAACTGCAGCACCTATTGGAAATTCTGCCTTTCCTTTTCTTTTTGCAAGATTTTTCAAAGACAATCATCGAGAGAAGGCGTAATTTAAAAAAGAACGACTTATTAACCGTCAAGCATTCCAATACTAGCCGCGCTGCATCCCTCTTGTGCTGTGCTGAAGCTGAAATTCTTTGCCATAAAACCCAATTTGCAGAGGAATGAAGTGTGTCCATATCGGAGCCTCCCTGAATGAAGGGGGGGGGCGGGTCGGAAAAAAGGCTATTTCTTTTGACGATTTTAGAACTGTCCTTTTTTTTTGCCAAAAAGTGTGTCCTAAAGAGGATTGTGTTTCAGGCTAAGATTGGGAGCAGCATTGGAGACGTTGCCTGCTGCACGCCCTTCACTTTTTGTCCAATAGTTTATCAGTCGCTTCTTTGAATGAAGAGGGAACGTGAATACTTGCAAGGTACAATGATTGCTGACCCCTGGAACCCAGGGGTAGCTATTTCGCTAATGGTTTACATAAGTACCATGCTAGAATATTCCTATGATGAAAACCTGTCTCAGGTTGTACAATTGTTACTTGGGCGATCTGGCCTATAAAGTGATTGAAGCAAGATTCCAACTTGTTCCCGATTGTTCCTGGCTTTGCCGCCAACCGCTATGAGAGGTGACGATTCCATTGGGTTCCATTCTCTTGCAAAAACTCGCTCGGTTTTCGTTCAGTCATCTTACTGATCTCAGGAAATGGTGAGGCATCAGGTGAGCGAGGCGATGGTTGTCCCTGGGATAGAGGATATTCTGTCGTTCGTACGGGTATTAATATCACTTTTTGTTAACCGTCATTCTCTCTTATGTATATCTTCGAAAATATTCAGATGACGTACCCAAACCTCAACCTACATGGGATGTGCATTCAGGATTCCCTTTGAGAATAAACGTCACATTCTCAGACTGCTCTGTTTATACTCAGGGTTCGTTCCTAAGCGTAGGCAAGAATTCACATAAAAGACTGTGTTTTCAGACCAGTATTCATGATGCACGATCCAAGCCTAGAAAAGCCTTGCATAAATGACAGAGACTGTGATCGATTCTGGCCCGGTCATTATCGCTGTCAGTTCAATTACGGTCTTTGTTATACCAAATACTTTGATTCCATTTATTGGATAGTCGGTCCACCTAGTCTTGAATGAACCCTGATCCGATCGGAGATATATTTTTATGAGCGTATTCAAAGCGTGTTCTTTTTTGCCTTACCGTGTTATTCTTCTTTACCAGCGTAATTACAGTAATTCTCTGCAACATATTTATTAAGTCCATGAATGTGTTTGTTGCACTGAATAAAGCTCATGTTTATCCAACAGGATACCTATGTTCCCAACTAAAATTTCGCAACTTTGGGAAACGCATCCTACATCGATGTGAAGAGCAAACCAATTTCAAGGTTCAAAAAATTCAGTGTGCCTTTTACATGGTTTGGCTATTTCATGACAACTATAATACATGAATTCTCATTTTGCTAAGAGTTATATATTGTGAAGGAAATAAAAGCAGAGAAGTGCATTCTACATGAGTAATCCTTTTTGGAGAGTCACACATTCTACATATGATATCCACATTCAGAATCATAGTTCCGACTTGGACTCGCGATTTAAGTCTCTAATCTTTTGAGCTGAATTTCTCAATATCCTATCTCTCTAGCTTCCTACCAAACCGCGGCTTTGGGGTTCTAATCTCTGCTGTTCCTGGGCCCATTCCTCGTCTTCGATATTCCATTTTGCAGCCTGTCTTCAACGAGCAGAAAAAATGAAGTTAAGATTCGATTTGATTCGTTCCCTCAACATTGCGTCGTACGCATAATTGCGCATGCTTTTCATCATCGTTTTCGCCTCTCAGTTTATTGAATACATTAGTCACTCAGAATAGTCAAGAGTGTAATAAGTGCTGCGCTCCACACGGTGGATAGAATAATATAAGATTTATTGGACAGTATAGGAGGCATAGCTAATGAAATGCAGTACATAGGCTTAAAGTGAAGATATCACTACGGTGAACAAGGCATCGAGTAAAAAGGCTAAACGAAGAAGTGACGGGCGGCTGCTGACTATCCGGTGCGGATCCCGAGGCCTTCCGGCGGCTTCGCAGATCTCCCTCAACTGCTTGTGGCATCGTCTGCCTCCCTTCAGCGTCCCAGCGTCATCGCCGCAATCCATTTCTAGCATTCCAGCCTGAGAAATATTCCCGGTCAATTTCTTAGCTATCCTTTACATCTCCCTCAGCCACGAAAAGTCCCTTCCGGGCTCGAAGAAAATTAAGAGCTGACAGATTCCACGATCGCTTTGATGTAAGGACGTGGAAGTGGTGGTACTGTTGGCATTCGTGGATAAGCGTGGTGGCTACTTCGATGTTGCTGATGTCTAGAATAGAGAAGAGCAAAAACAAAAGGCGGTTCAACAAAAGGGGTAAAAAAAAAGATGGTAAAGCGTAATAAAGTGAAAAAATAAAGACAAAAGGGATATATGGGATCGCTCTCATTCTATTTAGTGGCTGAGAAACATCCCTTCCAGTTGCAAAGATGGTGCAACGGTATATATGCTTTCAGCCCAGCAAACGACCGTTTCCTAATGTGGGAGAGATCGTAGTAATGTGACTTGGCCTAGAACAAGTTGTCCGTGACGGCATCGAGTGATGGCCACGTTGAGACGGATGTTGTCGACGAAAGTCGATTCCTCTCCTTCCATTCCTGTGCGCGTCGTGAGGTGTATTACTACGTCCATCTCCCTGCCTTGAATAGAGTCCACTGTAGATCTGCTGTGCCGCAGCGAAGTCCTGCAAGAGCCTGTACTGCTTGCGGTGAAAGGTGACTACAGCTCAGGCGCGACACCGGAACGCAGTAAATGGCTTATGAGCGCCAGCCAGGTGTTGGCCTCATCTTCGTTCGAGTGGAAACGCGTGGGCGCTCGAACAGAGCTTCCTTTCACGTTCAACAAGGCGAAGGAGACCTGCTTGTTAGGAAAGGAAATGCGATCGAGCAAGAACCTGCGGTCCTATGCCCTCGTTCAACTGACTAACGTACTATTGTAGCAGAGAATGTTAGGAAAGGCGTTTAAGGCGGGGTGCGCCCTAAAGGTGGTGATGAGCGTTGCTCTAGATACTAATGGTGACTGCCCCAAGACGTCCATCACGCTTCGTGCACCTAACGAAGCGGGGTTGGTGTGACTCGGCCATTTTGTATGCGGTTGCATCTGGATTGATGTCGCCGACATAGAGCTGCGACGCGTGTGGGAATAAGGTGGTGAGGCAGGCGAATACCGGTTTCGGTACTTGGGAGGCTTCATCTATGATGATTATTTTGCGATCCGCTATGTGGGTCCTGAAGATCCCGCCTGTACCGGTCGTGTTGAGGAGGGATGCTGTAGTGGGCACTAGAACGTTGGGCGGTCGAACCTTGAACATGCGTGACTATCTTCTTAACACATTCCGAGACCTATATTTCGGCGAGGATGAAGTGGTTGATCTCTTCACTACTCCCTCGATGTTCTTCAATGCTCCTCACGCCGCTCGTTTCCTCCTGCTCAGCCTGGAGCTAGGTGAGCATTCGGTGAAGTTCGCTGCCTTGAGCGTGGATGTTGCATAAGAGTGATCAATACTATCTTAAATGTAACATTAAGTGTTTTTTTTGTCTCCCCCCCCCTGCGTGGATGCTTCCAACTTGAATTTATAAACAACATATCCCATTAAAAGCGACTCATGTGACAACGAAAAGTGTGTGGAAATGCATCGGGGTGGCCGAAAAGTATAGGACGCCATGTTTTTGTGTGTAAAAGCCAAGAAAGAGACTCGATCAGGAAACCGACTTCACACAAATAGAGTTAAGCTATTTGATCACTTGTGCAGAAGGTGCTTTGAATTTGACGACTCTGCTTTGAGAGAGGCCTTCTGACGTCCAACGACAAAATCAGCAGTGCGCCGCAGGTAGCCAACGGCGATGTCGTCCCACCTCTTCTGAAGCGCTAACTTCAGAGCACCCACCGAGCTGGAGAAGTCTTATGAGGTCTTGCTCTACAACATCCTCACATAGAGGAGTCCATCGGGTTAAGGGCCTGAGAGGAAGAAGGTCACAATTCCTTGCTTGGCCCGGGAAGTGAGCGCCCAGGATGGCTTTGGTCGATTTGAACGCTATTAGGGAGCCCAGCTTCATTGGAGCAAACGAGCATTGAGCAATACGCTCGTGAATCCAGTTCGAAATAATTTTAACATTTGTGGAAGATGAACTCCAATGGAGCTGCACTTTTGGATGTTACCCCGTCACAAACTACCACACCTTCGGGAGAAAGTCTGTTGTAAACTAGACGTTATCTCGGAGACTTGCTCTCACTTTTTGGCAACAACTGCCTCTGACTTTGGTGGTCGCAAAGAAGTTTAGTTCGAAAATTTTCTCATTAACCCAATCCGTAAGAGAGATGCGGCGCACCTCGAGCTCGTGCAGAAACTTTTTGCATTTTATCAGTTGAATCTATTCGGGTTGCTCCAATAAAAACCAGCATAGAAAGAGTCGGTAACCTCTTCAAATAATGATTGCTTCCCAAGATTTTCTGGAAGGAGTGACGGCAGATCCTGAGATCAAAGCGATGTGACTCACGCTGGCATCCTCTTCTAGGTGATTGCCCCAATCCTCTGAGTGTGCACAGTTCTTGAACTTCCACTTTTCGCAATCCCAGAGACGTGTGCTTGAACCTTGAGAGCACCGAACATGTTTCAAAGAGTTGAAGAGGGAATACCGAGTCGCTTTCCGAAGTTGCAATTTCAGAGACCGTCATTGGGCAGCCTCTTGGTAATGGGTCGATGCAAAAAATCTTCATGGCGAGAGTTCAGATGAACTTTGGACCAAACAACTTATGGTGCTTCTTACATAGTTTCAAAGCTTTCGAAGAGTTTCGAAACACTCTGAAAATACTCCACGGCTCAGTGCCAGCAAGCGGTCAAAGCCGCGTCCTATACTTTTCGGCCACCCTGTTTCGCTAATTCTGACCAATTCTATTATGTAACCTATAATTATTATAGCAGATCCCACATTTTATATATTATACAATGTGTACTTTATATGAATATGCCTGCCGTTCGAGGGGTAGCAAATAAAAGAACGTCAACAACTTTCACTGCATCGCCATTTTTGCTGCTCAGCCAGCGATGCTTATTCTCATCCAACTAGCAATTCTAGTATGTTTTGTTTCTGTTTCTGTAGGGTCTTTCTGTGCCAAGAAAAGCGCACGCACGAACCTGCATTCTGCCACAATTTCAACCTGAACCTGCCTTCAGATAGACAAGCGCTATCAGAGAAAATCGCTATCCGAAAAAAATTGACAAAATTTAGTCGGCCTATTTCAAAATCACTGCAACAAAAACGGTCAGTAATCAATGTAATGGTTTTCCCTAGTCACGTCGTCTCCCCATCCATTGTACAGAGCTCAGATACCCTTCTTCGATATGCAGCAAGCCTCGACGTCCTCGAAGTAAAGGTCGGTTGGCCGCCTGACATGGAAGAAGAAGCAAACAAATACTGGAATTTCATAACTTGGGGTGGTTGCGTTGCGACTACGGTGTTACTCAGGAGCGCGTAGTTTGCTAGCCAACTAATTTAGGTTTTTACAACGTTAGCGGCCTTTGCGCGCCTGTGCGCATTTTTGCATAGATTTATAACTCATGTATGTCAATGATGTGTTGTAGAAACGAGTATGGAGAGGAGCATGCAACACGTTTTAAGCTACTCATCTTTACACCATTTCTTCGCTATTTGAAACAAAGCAAAGGGAAGTGTGCACGTGATGTTTCAAACTTCAACAGCGTTTAGCAACGTCAAAACAATCAATCCTTTCATGATGACTGTCGCTTTTCCTTGCCATAATGTCTGCTCGCTTATAAGCTGCAGTAAGACCTGTAGCTCATATTAGCGTGAAATAAGCAAACTTTCACATTAAATGTGCTCCAGATCTTTTTATCTTAGCTTGCAGCATTTCTCACATCTCTTCGTTCAGCGGGTGATAAATTATTGCGATAAGGTTCACTCATAGCGTTCCGATAAATTCTTTGAATGTTATGCTCGAGATTGGCTATTTTTGTACCAATGTCACGTGTCGACGGAGTGATTTGTATAAATTTGCCTTGACATGTGGCTGTTGAGACAAGTCAGGTGAATAGAGATATGACTGGATCCTTGACCTAGGGCCGTCATTTGCATTCATACTGTGGATAGACAATTCAGAGACTGACGCAACGCTCTGTTTCACCAGTTCGGATATCAACTACGCTGGTACACATCGTGGGCCAACCGTGCTTAACCAACATGAAACCTTGATGTCGTTGATGCCTTTCAAAGGCAAATTTATAAAAATACCCCCGTCGACACGTGACATTGATGCAAAAATAGCCAATCTCGAGCATAACATTCAAAGAACTTGTCGAAACGCAATGAGTGGACCTTATCGCAATCACTAGTAGCAGTAGGCAGCGCCTCTAGGAAGTTGAACAAGTGCTCACCATTCACCATCTACAGCCGACCAGAGCAGTGCTTCACTTTGAGCCAAATATCTCAGGAAAAGCCGTATGGACAACGGTACACTATAGTCTGTTGAAGTCTGAGTCACTTTCTGAATACACCACAGATGCCTGCTGCAACGACACAAGCAGAGTGGCTTTATAGGGGCTCGAGATCTAAAATGCCTAGATGCCTCGGTTCGAGAAGAAGTTGTCTGTAAAATGTTGGACGAAGCTTCCGTGTACGCTTCTACTGAAACTCTCGAAGACCCACCACAGTAATCAAATGCCAAGGCAGCTGAAAAATTCTTCGATTCTTCCTTCAAGGTATATGTTATAAGTGTCGCAGGATTTTCTGGACAACCCAGTATTTGGGAAACGGCATGACCTTTGAAGATTCGTATGGACGATCTCAGAAGAGCGTTGACCAATCCCGCCACTTGTCCTCACAGTCAGGGTGAATAACGGTCGAGGAAATCCTCGACAGGGGGTCGTATTTGCTCCGATGAGAGTTGGGAGGGGGTCGTAATCAAAAGGTTCATCAACGGACACAACGGTGCTGCTGCCACTTATTTGCTGTCATTTCCTGTTGTACTTAGCCTAATGCAAATAACATCTTACAAGTGGTTGTTGGTTTGGTTCGTAGTGATCAGTATGGCATAGGAAGGCAACGCGTCCTGCAAAAGAATCGTAGGGAAAGGGCAGCGAGTATCTACTCTAGAATGATGTACATGCTTCGAGAACTTAGTGGAGGAACAGCATCTTGGTAGAAAGTTCAAAACAGGCAGATTCGCAGCCTTCTTGGCATCATCAGATCCTGCAACCGCAAGCTGTCATTCATCAGAACGGGTTGGAAAGGAAGCGATTTGAATAAAGGAATGATCAGACATCACTATGACCACAAAAGTTATCCTAATTAGTTAATACTGGAAATATCTTTTGGTGTGCTTAAAGGCAAAAGTCGGGCTCAATAAGGGGGTATTATGGCGATTGAAACTGAGTATAGAGATGCGAAGTGGAACGACAGTGGAGAAAAAACTGAGAAAAACCGTCGACAAGGCCGTTAACAAAACCCTCTTTCCCACTAGCAGTGAAGGAGGCTGGCTTGGGAAAGAGGCACGTACAAACAAGTTTTCTGGAGATGTCAGTCGTTCTATCGGTTGATACGGCAATCAACCTAGCTGATTTCACACGTTATGCCAGCCACGCACCACTTCCGGAGGTGGGCGGTCCTGGATTGACCAGGCGGCCCGGATTGAAACCGAACGCCCCGGGGCTTAACGGGTTTTTCAAGGTGGGAAGTTGCTGCAATGTGTGCAGCTACCCACATACAACCTCCAGGCACGGGAATTACTTCTCTAGCGTGCTGAGCCCGACCTTTGCCTTTAAGCAAGTCGTCACTAGGACAAAACACCTTCCCAATGACTCCGAGTGGGGTCACTGCATGGCGCATACAAGAACGGAATGGATCCGCGCCAAGTGCATCATTTTCAATTTACTCCATCGAACTGACGTGTACAGAAGTATTTTGAAGGTGTTCAAAGAAGTTCCCTACTACGGCGAGGGAGTAATAGAGTTTTCGAGTGGCTTCGAAAATTTCCTTGACATTTCCTCGACGCAGATTTCTCGCGAACTAGAAAGCGTTCGAAACAACTGGAGCACCTATCAGAAAGCGTAAATCTTCTACTTTACAACGCTTTCCTCCGATTTTCAAAGCATTGCCAATGAAGACAGCTACTGTCTTCCAAAGAGTGGGAACTCGCATGTAAATTTCAATTTCCTCGACAATTTCTCGACGTCTCCACTCTCGAAATAGGTGCTTAGAAAAACGCTCAGCACAATTTAGAAACTAGAAGTCTCGTGCATTCAAAAGCTGCCTTCACTTTCTGAAATGGTTATCAATGAAGAAAGTTATAGTCCTTTGAATAGGGGGTACATTTGACGATTTTTCCA